CGTCTTGGAATGTTGTAAACAATCATAAAAGGTTTAAGGGTGGCCGTGGTTCCTCAAACAATTATTCTAGAATTGGTCCCAGTGGTGACATCAGGGAAAAAGATGGTGCAACTCGGATAAAAAATAAATATATAGTCTTGAGAGATGATATCGACAACAGTGAAGCTAGTGAGGACGACAGCGTCATCTTAAAGTCTACACATGCAGGCTCCCCAGAATAAAGAAATCCAGGACACTAGCAAAGAACGACCCAAAGATCCAAAACATGGCTGTGTTGCTGCAAGTGACAGTGAAACCGATCATGCATCAACGGCGCAACGAGCAATTGGAAAAAGAAATACGCGAACAGAGCGAAGACAAAACAAATTAAACAATAAGCAAGTTAGCGGAACTAATGACGTTGATAAATTCAAAGGCCATGGAAATTCAGGCTTCAAAACTAAACCCAGTTGCAGCGTACAGCAGGAAAGTAATCCCCATTTAAATGGTAGTGACGAAAGAATTGATGATAGAACCGTAGAACGGTGGTAGTATTGGGCGATTCTATTGTGAAATATGTGCAAGGCCAAAAGCTCTCTAATAAGGTGAGGACAGTTGTTAAATCTTTTTCCGGTGCAAAGGTTGATCATATGTTCCACTATATGAAACCGACTCTAGAGCTCCAACCTGACGAAGTAATCCTTCATGTGGGCACGAATGATTTAAAAAATTCAACCCCGAAATACGTTGCTGAGCGTATTGCTGATCTTGGTCGTAACATTGTCGCTGATTCGCCTTCTACGAAGGTAACTATCTCAAGCTTGACTTGCAGAACTGATGATAGATTGTTAAATGATAAGGTTGTTCAGGTTAATTCCTATTTAAACACCTTATGTAGTCAGAACGATTGGACAATTTTGTCTCACTCTAATATCACTACCACACATTTAAACGCTAGTGGCCTACATCTCAATCATAGAGGAACTGATCATTTATCTTCTAATTTCTCTAAACATATTAATAATTATCGACTAGTGGACCGATGGCGCAGGCGACAGTAGACAAACAACAACAATGGTTTGATTTTCTTATTATTAAATTATACAAACACGAAATTTGCATAAAATATGTATATATAATCTGAAGCTATAAGCAGTGCTCTCACTTTTAAGGAATTATCCTTAAAAATAGGAATTTTGAAGAGTTTTAAGGATTTTTTTAAGGAATTTAGGTTTTTAAGGATTTTTTAAGGAATTTCCGAAACATTTTATCCTGGACTAAAAACGTTGCACGGAGAATAATCACGCTACGCAAATGAGATTTAAACTTGAAAGTAGCAACATTATACGCACACAATTTGTCAATTACATATATTCGTATGTTCTCTATGTCATAAATATACATATGGTTGTAGTTGGTAAAAGCAATTTGACTGGCTAAGAGCTTACAGTTAAATCGCGCAATCACGCAACCTACAGAAAATTCAGTTATCTCCTAGCAGATAACTGAGTTATCTGCAAATGAGCCTGCGATGATTAGCAAGCTTTATCTATTTAACACAAAATGTATAATAAAACAATGCTGTTTCTTCTGAAATCTACAGATTTTCTAAGCTCTTCATGCAATACCGATCAAAAATACATCATGTTGAATGTTTTCTAGATGGCATTATGCTAACAATCAAATCTTTTCAGTTTTTAGTGCGTAGAAACAAGGTTGAAAAACTGAAAAACAGCAAAAAAGGAGAAAAAAACCTTTTTGCACCAATTTAAGGAATTTTAAGGAAATCTGAGGAATTTTCGAGCTTTTTCTAAGGAATTCGAAAATTCGACTGTGAGAGCACTGGCTATAAGATAAAGAACAGAAAGAAAATTACGACTATGTTTACAAATATAAATACAATACATTACGTTACAATTACACTGTTTTTAACTTACATTTGTCCAAACCATTGATAAACTTTAAAACCATAAATCCTAACTTGACTTTTCCCGGTTCAAAACATTAATTTTTAGCGTTTCTTTAGACTACTTTTATACGTACTTTTAACGTTCAACATGGCTTCCTTTTCGCGCGCTTTTTCTCAGTTCATCGCGGGCGACAATAATTATTCTACGTACGTCATGTTATTTTAGTCAAATCAACGTAACATTCCTCCCGGCAATGGGAGAATTCCCATTTCTTCCTTCATTCGTCTTCGTAGCCTTCAACTGGGTATATAACCACAATCTTGCTTATAGGACGTGAATAAGTACCTTTCGTTGTCTTCACCATCACATTTCTTACCAATCCATCTTGTCCCGGAAAGACTTGGACAATTCTTCCAGTTTCCCATTTACCTCGTAGTGCGTTTGGATCCGACAATACTACGCAGTCATTCACTTTAACGTTTCGCGATTCGACATTCCACTTTTTTCTTGGAACCAGTTGTGGTAGTACGTCTCTCGACCACTTTTTCCAGAAGGCTTCGACAATTCGTTGACAAAATTCAAATCTATGACGTGGGTTTTCTGTCTGTCGGAATGGACCTTGAGGGATTGTACTGGTTGCTCTACCAAGTAGAATATCGTTAGGGCACAAGTAGGAACCATCGTCGGGGTCCGTTGGAATGCGACCGATGGGTCTTTGGTTAACTAAATTGGTAATCTCTAGCAGACAGGTGTATAGCTCGAACGGTGCAAGAACTGCAT